GCACCAGCCAGGACCATGACGTCAGCATTTTGATGATGAATTACGGTCACGCCAAAATCATTGGAAAACCATAAGAAAAACCAATAATTTGCGCGACCACTTATAACTTTTGGTACAACTGATCTGAAACTTAAAATATTGATTCAATAAGTTTAATATCAATATATTGTTTGAAAAATAGCTATTATGTCAAAATTAGAAAACTTAAGATTCTCACGCGAATAAGCAATGTTTTTATGAGCGACTGTTCATCGTTAGTTGCCAACGACGGTAATATAAACAAGGTCAAGGCAGGTCAAGTTTGTCTCGAAAGCGATTGACTGTTAGATTTTCTTTTATACTATTTTATAACTAAAAAATGTTATTTCCTACAAATTTAGCTTTATTGTAGCTTTAGTAAAGGTATAAAAAAACCTGGAAACGGTGAACTACTATAGATCGAAAATAATTATTAAACTATGATTGAAATTATCGACGTAGAATGCTATATTTCGTTGTATTAAATTTCAATAGTATATAAATAGTAATACATTTGACATCCGTAAGTACAATTTCTTATGCTGAATCGAGCGGTGGTATTTTTATCCTTATTGCGCCATTAGACATTACAAATACAAAGACAAACGTAGTGAGTGATTTGTTATAAATAACAATACATACTGCGAGTCTGCGAGCGATTTGTCAATACAATTTCGCTTGATTTTCAAAGGCCATAAATCGCTAGAATACTGGTGTTCAGTAATACACTTGACATCCATAATACAATTTCTTTATACGCTGAATCGTACGGTGTCGCTTTCTTCTCAAAATATAGGAATTGGTTTATAAATCATAGTGAGCATGTGTAATGTGATAGCTAAATTCACTGAGCTATAATATTACAGTAATATTATTATAGCTCAGGGGCTAAATTGCGCAATCCCGAGCCCACGATGCCGCAATGGAAAGTCACACTTGCGACAACAAAAAAAAACCAAAAAAAACCGAAGAAATTCCTCGCATTCCAGCGAGGGCAAATTATGACACTGGCTGCGGCCAGTGTAATAATGTGTTTTAATGCAAGCTGGTATACATGAAATTGCAGCGAATGTTATCGTTCATTAAGCTAGCGCATCAGTTGTGTTTTTAAGTTTGTTTATAATGGTTTTAGTATTTTATGTGGAGTTTTTATACTTCATATGTTAGTGGTTTAGATAATTGTCCCGGCACTACATTTCTTGAGCTTAAAATGAACTTCCATTATTTTGTATGCAGGTAAAAGTTTAGCTGCAATATTTGCTGCTCTCATGGATACTCATGATATAACCAATCAGGAAATCATATGCACAGACATGTTGGTTGAAAGTCAGGAAGTGGAAACAAATTCCAAAGGTGAATGTAACGTAGTTCTTGAAAATGGTGACTTTAATGATAAATTAGTCTGCGGATTCTACATCACAGTGTGCTCTTACTATAATGATGATATTATTTTAAAACATTAAATGTTAGGAATGTCATTCATATAAATATTACTTCACATAAATCGTTTAGTGAGCATATTTAGTTAATCATCAACAACAACGACAACAATTACAAGGAAAAACACTACGACAACAGAGACGCCAACAATAACTAAAACCCTCCCGAGCAAAAATGAAAAGGTGAAATGCGAAGAAATTAATCGTTAAATTTTTAACGCTTCAAGTTTGTGATTCGGATTGTATTAGCCCGATATACCTTATGCCTAATGAAGTCACGAGGCGTGGTGCGCGGTAGGAATTCTAGTCGTAGTAGTCAGAGCGGAAAAATTCAAAACAATCCAACATGGCTTGTGTCGAATACGATTGTGCTGCTCCTCTTTGTCGTCTTTTAGAGGCTGTTCATGCCAATGAAGATTCTAGCTCTTTTCAGAAATCTTATACGGGGTCTTCAGAGGTATAACAGTCCTGAAAGTAACTGCATGGCATGCAAACGTCAGCATTCATCATCAGTCAGTACGAGTGAAAGAAGTAACGGTTTTACGTGTTGTGTTCCTTGTTTTACCACAGTAAAAGAATTCCAGAGCTTTCGTTTTATAATTTTCCAAATACTAAAATTGTGGAATCATAAGACAGGTCACATACATGAAGACCCGCGCAAGAGTTCTGACAAAAACTAGGGCCTTAATTCATTGCCTTGAACAGCCTCTAAAAGACGACACTATACAGCACACTCACCGTGTGAGAAGAAAGACATTTATTGGAGAATCAGGAAGAAAGTATATATCCAGGAAAGCACTGAGAATAACTGTAGCGAAATGGGCTTGCTTTGTGTTGCTTTGTGACAATTGGGAAGGCAGCGCCCAGGTGATAACACATCAAACTAACTCATTTGTTCCCGTAATTAACTAAATGTGTTTTTTTTACTTTCTCTTTATGCAGGTAATTTGTCAAAAATATCTGCTGATTTGAAAGACGATGACGGAATACGACAGGAACTAGTTGGTACGAACACTATCATTACCGAATGTACAGATATTGAAAAATTCTGCAAAGGTAACGAGATTGTTAATCGCATAAAATATAAATTATACGGACGAAAAGTGACTGCCTTCAAGTCGTATTTGTTCGTATAGGTCCCTGAATTTCACTTAAATTACATAAACCTTTGATTGACCAACAATATATGGAATCGTGGGAAACATCTCGCATGTTTTGCCAAAATTTGTCTAAATTAAACAAAACAAAGCATACAATACGTGATGTGAAATTGTAGATACACCAAGGACACCGCCAAGTACTGTATAAAATCAAAAGACGCCATGTCGCTGCGAATGCCAAATTTGGAGTTAATTTACCAGAAACTGCGTTTTTTTGCCAGTATTCAGTAGGGAAAAGAAAATTTAATTAGCTATCGAAATCCACAAATTAGTGTTATTACTTTTTAGCACCGCGATCAGACCAAACGAATTTCCTGCCACTTTTTCGTTGGCCTGCAGCCCACGAACAAACCCCGAAATACTGTATTTTCGTTTCTTTTCGCAAATCTGTATGATATTCGTATGGTACTGTATGTCACTAGCTAAGGCAATTATCGTTTACTTTACACAAAAGTCATGTATAGTTATAACGTATATGGGTATTGTAAATCTAAAATTTTGTACACCTCTGTACATTGCTTTAACTAGGTTAATTTCTTGACGTGTGCATGCATAATCAGGACGTCATTGTACCTCTCATTCCCGCTCCTGTTTCCTATGTCCCTGCCAAATAGTGGACAAAAATAAGTGGTAACTGTATATGTAGTTTTGACGTTTTATGAATCCCTCTATATTAGGTTACCAAAAAAGTGGTAGGAAGATTTTAGTCAAATATAACGGTGCATCCTCTTTTCATCATTTTAGTGTCTTCCAAGATGTTACCTTACGAGATTTTGGCAAGAGGAGAAGACGGTGTGAATGCGTTTAAAACTGCCGTTGCTAAGGGCACTGCTCGTGCTTCGAGGTTGAAAATGATTGTTGTTGGTGAAGTGGGCGCTGGAAAAACCAGTCTGACCCGGTCACTCTGTGGAGAACCTTTCACAGATACTCGCGAGAAGACGCGTGGAATTCGAACAGCGTCTACCAGTGAACCTATTATACAGACCACGAAACTAGATGAGTCCTGGAAACACGCTGACCCTGATGTGTCCCACTATGATGAACTGATAGCAAGAAATGTGTCCATGGAATTAAGACAAAAGTTACGAAGAGGTAACCTACCTGGCCTACCCTCCTCCGGTGAATTCGACCTACCTCAATTTTTGGAAGGACTAACTGGTACTGCTTATCCGGGTTTGCGGACTCCATCGCTGCCAATCGCAGGCTCGCAAGAGCACATGTCACACGTAGTAACCAAGCCGTGCGTCACTATTGATAATAGTCCCCGCAAATACCCTGCGACGCTCGTCGCAACGAAATTATCGTGCGCTGCTTCTGAACCTTCAAGCGTAAAGAAAATTATTTGGGATTTTGCCGGACATCAACTATATGAGCCAATGCATCATGTATTTATGAACAGCACAAGTCTTTATCTGGTAGTTTTTAACTTATTAAAGATGCGTAATTCGCCGGAAAAAAGCTTGTGCGAGATACACTATTGGTTGAATTCAATCGCGAGTCACACCTCGTCTTCAACTCCCGTAATCCTTGTGGGAACACAAAGCTCAGGTAAATGCTTTAAAACATGTGAATATAACCATTTATTACTGTCCATTTTGAAAGGAAATCCACTATTGTACAATACAGGGTGTATCAAAAAAAAACTGAACAGATTTGAAATTGCTCTCAATTTCGTAAAACACCTTTTGTATCCGTTTTTTATATATATATAGCTTCTTTGGGCACTTATAATGTAGAATAATGAAAAAAATTTCTGAAACTCGAATTTTGTGAACCAGGGGGGTGTGTCTTTTCCAACAAACTAAAAATGGCTCGCGCACAAAATTTAAAAGTTGTAATCTTATTTTGAGTTAATAGATGGAAACTTTGTCGCGTTTTTAATTACTGTACAAAATTTCAGACAATTTGGTCGA